TTTGAAAATTTTGAAAATCTTGATGATCTTCCTCCGGACCAGGCGCAGCATCGGGGTGGGTAATTTCGACCCTTACAACAGCCATTTAAATTGTACAGTATTGTAAAAGTTCTACATAATTTATAACTGTAAATGTGAAGATTTAAACAACACAAGCTTCAACAGCGAACCTAACATGAAATAAATCAATAGCAATAGGGTTAGGTAGAAGTGGCGATGGAATAACAAAATTATCTGGTACTCCATGATAAATAATTCAATTGAATATTTTGTCCAAGTAGTGGGTTGATTGGATTTCCCTGGCGGTCAACTGATCCAAATTCGTACTAAAAAAAGGAATACTTTAAATTTGTTTTCAATTCTATCGCTATGCTAAAAGTACATAAAAATGAAACATACCATTATTCGAACATTTATGCAATACAATACCAAAGTTGAATGGGAATTGAACCATGTCATTACTTATAGTCATGTGGTTGGTACTACGCCTGGTGCAATATGATCTATTGGATCATAATACAGTAGCATTATGAGCTCGACCTGCTGCTAACCAGTAATTTTCTATTTTATTTCTGAGTTGTTTGTCACAAAAAATTGTGGTAAAAAAATAAATTCCTTGTGAGGTGAACTGATTTTTGAGCATTAATCTTTCGTTAATAAATCTTCGCGATTTTGCTTTGGATTAATTAGTATATCGTAAATAGAAATGTAATCGGCTCATTAAAGACATAGCCGAAGTCAAGCAATAGTATAAATAGCCATGGTGCAGTCAAGCCATACATATATTATGGCTTGAGTTAGCCAAGCCATTTAAGTCATGGCTTAGTTTGCTGAGCTGCTGCTAACTATGGCTTAAGCAACAGGACTTAAATAGGCTACGTCTGAAGCCGGCTTCAAAATCATGACTAAAGTTTATCAGCTTGGCTCAACCTATGGCTAAAGGCCAAAGCCGAAAGTCTGATTCAAACCATTATTTTAAAGGTTTGACTTGATAGCGGCTCTGGTATTAAGCCGTGGCTGGAGTAAGGATGCCTCGAAAGTACTTTCGACAAAATTTTTTTTTTTTTTCGAAATGTTCGAAACTCGAAAGTCATCTCGAAACTCGAAAGTCATCTAGAAACTCGAAAGTCTTATTAGAATTCCAAAGGTCTAATTGAATACAAAATTTTTAATGAAAACTCAATATTTTTATACCTAAAAAACATTCTTAATTGATTATCATCATTAAGTATCAAATTTTTGCAGATCATTTGGCCAGGTTTGAAATTGTTTGATTTCAAAGCTGGCCTAATAATCTGCAAATTTGACTAGAGCTACAAAATTTTTCAACTTAGGGCTAGAGCTAGAAACCATTAAAATTCTTTAATTTTTTAGTGTACTGTATATATACAAAAATTTGTGAAAAGTTAGCTATATTAGTAAAGACAATTATCTTTATAAAGGTAATTGTTAAATAAGGGGATCGTCTAAAGCCGGTGCAATCACGTGACCAAGAGCCAATAAATTCGTTAATTTTTATTAACCCGACGAGACAAGATTTAACAAATATTATAATAACAATTTAACAGGCGAGACAAATAAACTTGTAGATAACGCAACAATATGCAAGCTGTGTAATTTTTTAAATCATAAAAGTAAAAAACGAAGAAACGAGTGTCTAAAAAAATGCTGGGAAGGCAATTTTACTATACGCTTCTAACCCTAACACCAGGCCTAACCCCTACCCTAATTTTAGTAAAAATTAACTTTTAGACGATCCCTAAATAAGGAATTTTTTATTTTTTTATTAAAATTTGTGTAACGATGATGTCAAGCGCAATAAATAAAAAATAAACATTTGCTATATATTTACATACTTATTCGTTACATGACATGATTGGTCACACCCTCAAATATTATTTGAGGTGTGACCAATCATGAGTGATTAATAAGTATTTGCTATGTAAAATATATGGCAAATGTTTATTCGTCACAACCATGATTGCTCACACTCTATACACCGAATTCGGCAGAATGATTTTCAGTCAATTTTTTTATATGTAATAGACTTTCGATAATACTTTCGAATTTCGATCACACTTTCGAGTTTCGTTAACACTTTCGAGATTCGAAAAGACTTTCGAGATTCGATATCGATATTTCGACACTATGGGATTTTATCGACACGCCAAAATACTTTCGATAAGTATCCTTAGGCTGGAGCCGGCTTCAAGTGGAGCTGATAACATCTCTAATCTAAACCCCAGAGTGCAATGTATATAGTTATGATTTTAATTCTGGCTGATGATCGACATCGGCCTGCATTAGTGATATACAAACCTAATGTTAAGTTTGAGCTAGGTTAAATTTAAAAAATTTTGAGGTTCTCACTCAATTTTGAGGGGAAATTTTCTTAGAATGCAATAAACGATTTAATAAAAGAAAATTTTGAGTTAGAATAATAAATATTCTTCTTTTGTCAATCAACTGTACTGTGCATTATGCATTAACTCAAATAAGAATATGGTACTAATTTATTTATAAGTTACTATGCATGTTACGTAATTCTAAAGTAACCCGTGACATAAAAACTTCTATCTTTCCTTACGAATATCGGATAATTAATGTATGTGCATTATAAGAACTCCGAATATTTTTTTTATAATATTTTTAAACAAAATAATTAGGATTTCATATTGGTCTGAAAAATTTGAAATAAATCCAAAGTTTTTTGTTTCTGGAAACAAAATAAAAACAAATATCCGTGGATTAAACAATGGTTAAGTTTGTCACTTAAAAATGACAAAGGGTTTTGTTAATAAAAAAAAAATTCGACAAATATAATTATTAAATGAAAGAAATCTTAAAATATAAAATGTCATAATAAATTTCGGAATCACTTGTATTTTACAGATTATTTTTCTATATAAGCAAAGACTTTTTACCAAAGTTTGTAAATCTCAAAAATTTTTAATATCTGTTATCTTTAAGGCCGTTTTTAGTTGATTATTAGGTTAACGTCATCCCCCCCTCGCTTAACTGCCCTCCCCCCAAAAATTAAACA